CCCCCCCCCCACTTTTTGTTTAATACGGACAGGCCAGGTCTGGGGATCCGGCCCACCCCGCCGGCCCCAGGGCTCCGCTTCCAGCCGGCCTGTTTCCAAGCTCTGTGAGGATGAGCCCTCAACCTGCCCTCAGTCGGGTTGAGGGCCACTTCAACCCTGCACTGTGGAGGACGGACACAGGCCGTGGCCGTCCCCAGGAGGAAAATGAGGGGATTTCGCGCCAAGGCAAGAAAAGGCAACAAAGCAGGAGGGGCTCCTGCCGAAAGAAGCTGCAACCAGGAGGGTTTTTTTAGCTATGTGGTGCTGGGCCACGGCTCGGTGGGCCTTGTCCCCAGATGGCTTCCCACTGTCCCGTGGTTCTCCTTGGGGCCACTGGCCCCGCTCCGGGATCCGCTGCAGCTCCGGGGCAGAAGAGGCCGAGGCTGCCGGACCTGATTTGGTGTCCGTCTCCTCAAGGAGGTTGCATAGCTGAACTTTTCCTTTTCTATTCTTAGCGTGGACTTCCAGCAAGATCCCTCCCCACGGCTTGTTTGTTTGCAAAGCAGCCTCACTCCAACTCCAGTACGTGCCTAAGAAGCTGACTTGCCGGCGAGGCGGGTGGGATGAAGACGGCGAAAGCCGATCCCATGAAAGGAGAGATAACTTGAAAAAAGGGCTTCCTTTTTGTTCATGTTAGCTTTGACCCCAAGAATTACAGCAGCTTAACTCAGCTGAGAAGGAAGCCCTTTTACTTGCAGGGCGTTTTGTTTAGAAAAAAGCAAAGTTTCTCAAGCACCAAATACGATCGCTGCCCAGAAATGCACGCTGCAAAAAGGGCAAAATACCTGTCTCCGAACAGGAAGCAGCAGGGGTGTCCGCAAAGCAGGTCAAACAGTCAAAGTGGCACGCACTCAAAACTCCACCTGGCACACATAAAAGCAGGTGGAGCTTTGAGCATACCATTGTAGCCACCATCTTGACTTTTTTGACCAACCGATCCTGTTTCCCCTTTTAAAAAACAAATCTGGGTAGCAAAGTTGAAACCCCCTTCCCAGCACCACACCCACCCAAATTGCCATGCCCTGCTGTGGACCTGCCGAGCTGCTTTGAGCAAAGAAAAGAGAGTGTGTAACCTCGGGATCCGTTTCCCACACACTACGTGTCTTTGGTGGCCAGAAGGAACGCGGCCTCGAAATAACTACAAACAAGCCCTGGATTTAGGCCAACCTGGAGAAGCGACCGGCTGAAATTATACCGAGCGTGCCAAGTAGTTCCATCAACCAAGCTGGGTCAATATTCCCCTTAATGGGCTCTGGTTGTTCTCTGCTTTTCTCCAGTTCTGTAACAAGAGCCTTCGCTTTCAGCAAGAGACGCAGAGGCTTAATCACAGATGTCTTCTGGTCTGCTTCAGGGCGAAACCGCTGGATCCATCACCACGGGCTCCATCGACAAGGTCAGGCCTTGCCAGCTGCCACTGGATGGGCAGGATGGAGAAAAGCTGAAATAAGCGCTTACCTTGGAAACTGGTTTTCAGCTCGGGGACAACCCTGGGTGGGTGGGATTTCAGGGGATGAGCAAGGTTATTCCAGTTATAATATTTGAGGAAGAGTAAGGAAGAATCTTGCCAAAGTAAGTTGGTGCTTATTTCTTGATGAGGGGATTGCCATGTGTGTGGCCCAGTGTGAGAAAAAAAGTAATTGTTACAAAAAGAGATGAGAAAGGAAATTTTCAGCCTGGGAGTTTAATTTTTTCTTTAAAGCATGAGCTATGGGTGTGTCCCACCAGATTTTTTTAAAATTTCAGTTTGAGTTCCATCTTCTTCCATCCTTTTATTGCTTCTCTGGACTAGAACAATCAGAATAAGTCTGAATGCTCCCGTTTGTTTCTCACCCTCTTTCACATAAATGAATGGTGAACATTTTCTCCCCCCACTTATGGTCATTGCGGTGCAACTCGTCACCTTGGGGCTGGATCAACTGCAACAGCGCAGGCTCAGACCGCTCCTCCCCAGGGATGGGAATCTATTCTAAGCCTTAAAATCTGTTCTGAGTCACCCCGCTCTTCCTTGGGAACTTGGCCTCAACAGAATCCAATATCCACACCTAATTGCTGGGCATGGGAACATCATGTCACAGGGCAAGGACTGAAAGTCTCTGATGCAGAGGAGGGAAATCTACATGCAGCCACAGGAAGAGTTTCACCTGACTTGGACAAAAGGTCTACGTACTCACGAGTTGCTTCTCCCCACCCCCGGTGGGATTCTTCCCACATCTGCTAAAAATATGATCTGTTCCTGCTGACCCTAAAAGAAAGGTGGCATTCTTGGTCCCTCCTCGTTTCTACCTGGGCTGGCAGGTCCGTGCTCCCACTGCATACGTGTATCATGTGAAACGAGACTTCCTTTTCTCCATTCTGAATCTAGAGGAGGCCCAAGTACTAAGAGCTGTATCTGCTTCAAATAAAACATGGCTATATTTATGGGGGAATTTAAATAGTTCTTAGCTTGCTTAATCACCATCAGATTTTGCTAAGCGCTGTGCTGAAAAAAAAGGCTTTTAGTTGCAGCTAGTTTATCATCTTCTAAAAGGGGCTGAAACAGAGCTCCGTCAGCTGGGCAGTCTTTCAAGTCAAGGGTCCTTGCTAGAGCACATGCTGGGGACAGGGCAGACTGACAAAGCCTTTTATTTAGTTGCGATCCACAAGGGGATAAGCAGCACACCCGACCCAGCCTTAGAGGCGCTGTGAACCTCTGGGCAGGAGTGTGAAGGAGATGGTCCTTCCTTCCTTCCTTCCTTCCTTCCTTCCTTCCTTCCTTCCTTCCTTCCTTCCT